GATAGCGATCGCGTCCGGCAACCGGCGGTCGGTACGGCCACAAGGGCGGGGTGAACGGGGTGGGTAAACCGGGATCGGATCCCCTTGCCCGGCCTGCATGCTTCAGCTGGGGCGCAAGGACGGGAAGCTGGGCCTTTGTGCGCGTTTTTGCGTTGCTTGAATTTCAGGGGAGCGAGGATAAAGTTATTAAAAATGGGGGAAAAAAACACGCAGATGAGAAGCTTTGGGGTAATAACTAGATCAGAGCAAGGAAAACGCCGCTGGGCAGCCGCAGGAGCAAGAGTATTTTAACTCAAGAGCACGCTTTGTACAGCATTGCATGTTTTTTTCCTCCGACAGCTAAACCTGAAGTGCTAGTTTTACCAGAGCAAGCAGCTACCCTAATTTCCCTGCATATACCTACATTACGCGAGAGATGAGGTCACTTGTAACACTCTTTTCAGAAATTTAAATGTTTAGAAGATTTTTTAAAATGAAAATTAGGATGCTACAATTAGACGGTTTGTTTGTGCTAATATTTGGCAGTTTAATAATACGTAAAACTATTTACTTTATTTCCAGAAGTAATTCACCTGACTCATTGGCAAAAACATCTGATATTCTACCTGCAAAGCACTCTTCCCTATAGCGGTAACTACATAAAAACATCCTCTATAAAAAAACAGAAGGAAAAAAAAAACAAAACCTCTTTGTATCAGTATTGCTCCTAGATGAGTGTTCTGGCTGTAATAAATTAAGCTTTTTTTTTTTTACTTTTATTCCTGAAAATGGCTTTTCGATTTAATTTTTTTATTGATGAAAATGAGACCAATGAACCAGACATTCATGATAAGATGGACTTAGAGCTGTGCTCTCCAAAGCACAAGCAGGAATCCACAGAAAAGAGCAAGCAAATTGCTGACACCGCAGCAGGCTCCAGCCCGAGGCTGGGTACTGATAAGCACGGAGATGAGACACCCTCAAAGAAAAAGTTCTGCTTTAAAGCTGCCAAGGAGCACAATATTCCTGAAGATCTCAACAAAATACTGGAAAATAAAGTCATGGAAACAGTATCAGACCTGTATTACCTAAACTCATCTGTTGTGGAAATGATGTGTTTGGATGGCGCCGATGAAGAAGGCATCGTGTCTAAAAGTGTTTCTTCTCACTCCGATCTCATCCCAGGAGTCTACGAGGGAGGACTGAAAATCTGGGAATGCACCTTTGATCTCATAGACTACTTTTCCGAGGCTGAAATACAGTTTACCAACAAGACTGTATTGGATCTTGGCTGCGGGGCTGGACTGCTGGGAATAGTTGCTTTAAGGGGTAAAGCTGAAAAAGTCCATTTTCAGGACTACAACAGCACAGTGATTGATGAGATAACCTTGCCTAACGTGGTGTCTAACTGTATAAACGAAGGCAATAGGACAGGCAGTGGAAACGACAAAAAAACTAGCAAGCCTCCTTCAAAGAGGCCCAGGAAAGCAGAGTGCTCACCTGATGCGCTCACCAAATGCAGATTTTTTTCTGGAGAGTGGTCTGAAGTCAGCCAGCTCCTGTTAAGCAGCAACAAACCCTTTTCAAAGTATGATATAATTCTCACATCTGAGACCATCTATAATCCTGACTACTACAGTGCTTTGCATGATACGCTGGCTCAGCTCTTGGATAAAAATGGCCGTGTGTATTTGGCAAGCAAAGCATATTATTTTGGGGTTGGCGGTGGTATCTACCTCTTTGAGAAATTCACTGAAGAGAGAAATGTGTTTAGGACCAGCATAGTTAAAATAATTGATAAAGGACTGCAGCGATGTATTATGGAAATGGCCTTTAAAGATTCCAGTTAAAATTCAACCACTAGTCCTTCAAAAATACCTTAAAGACAAAATGTTTTAATCCTTATATTGCTTCGCTTTTTCCTCCGTTGAGTTATTCTGGTTTGACAAATTAAGGATGCTATTTACTAGTTACTGAAATGTTTGACAAATTCTGATGCCTGACTCAAAGTGAAGGACTCTTCTGATTCTGGTTTTGCATAGAAAAATGGAGTTCTGCTTAAACCAGCATCTGTTTATGCCAATTAATTGTCATTTATATGTATTTAAAAATTAAGCAAGTCACCGTCCCCAGTCCCCCTCTCTCATTCTTTGGCAGTGCCAGCACTGTACATCACAGGAGCAGCTGCTGAACACAGCCTGAACGAGCTCATTTAGCATCCTGATATAGTGCAGGAAGTGGTTCTTGAGGGTTAGGCTCCCAACTCAGGGTTTTAACTACAGCAACAGATTCCAGAATCAACTGCATTCCCATGTGCTCTGCTGCTTTGCTGCCGGAGAGGGATGTGATTGTATTTATCACTTGTGTTCTAGTCTGCTAGCAGTCTCACAAATCTTTGTACTGTTTCCATATGTAATGCACATGTGACTTTTATTCAAGCCTTTAAAAAAAAGTGTACCAGACAATATTTACTAGTGTGGTCTGTAAATTTTCACATTCAGATTTTGACATACCACTGTAAGAAAATTCCAGCAAGTAATTGTAAATAGCCATACTGTTTTTAGAAATGAGTAAAACTGATTTCTGTTTTAGAAGCTGAGTTGAAAGAAGATTCTACACAAGAGAAGTTCCTTAAAACAAACAACCAATAAACCTACAAATGCAGTCCAGGAAACTGGAAAATGACAGAACTGAGCTTTAGGTGACAAGTGGGAAAGGAGATAAACTGCGCTATTATAGCAGATTGCCAACTAGAATGCTGTACTGCATTGTTTGGTTTTTTTTAAACAAGATTTTTGCAGAAATTAAACTGCCCATACACTATGACCCGTTTTCAAAACTTGCAGGGGGGTACTACTGGGGGTAACTACTGAACACTGACCCTCTTCAATCTTTTCACCAGTTTGGCAGGGCAGCAAGATTTCAGAAAAGCCTGTGTACAAGTCACTCCTGTGTCGTAGGCTGAAGATAGTGACATTGCTGAAGAAATTACCTTACCAAAAATGCAAACAAACCCAAAGAACTACAAAACCTGGTCCTGAGTGCTTGGTGTCACCAGCAATTCACACAAAAAAATCCATTGCGTGTTTTGTCTTAACCAAAACTGGACAAAAACCTATTACATAACTCTTAATAGGTACATCAAAGCTACTGCTTATGCACTGCTTTACTGGGTGCCCTTGCAGAAATATAAACTTAGAGACAATCGGCCACCACAGTAAACTGGATGCAAGGATACTCCATGTAGGAGAGAAAGGACAATAGTCTGAGGGGATGGAAAGAAACTTACTACAGCAGTGACCTAAATCAATTATTGCATAAAGTTCCCATCATTGAAGGCTATGAAAATCAACTGCAAGATTCCCATTTTGACGGTGTTGCTATTAAGATAGAGTCATAGAGGATTTCCTGTACTTTACAGAAGAGCCTTAACAACTGCTGTTGTTTCAAAAACAATTTTAAGTAGACTAATTTAAAGGGATGGCTTTGGAAGTTTTTTATAGGAGGGGAAAAAAGCAGTCAGTTGTGCCATGGCTATGATTGCGCTTTGGAATTTTTCTGCATCAACTCTGAAACGTACTGATGATAGACAACTGCTGACTACAGATTGAGGAACAAAAGGAAGTTTTTGCTTTGGCAGATCAATAAAGTACTGTTAACAGCTCTTTTTTGTCAAAACTGGAAAGTTGGAAACAAAGTGACTACCACTTGCCATTTTTCAAACCTCAGTCATAAGACAAGTCATGGCTTGCACACAGTGACTGAATAGCTTGTTCTACGCCTGCTAGGTCTAGTGCTGTTTCAGAGAACAGTACCTGAAGCAGTAAGAAATATTGACCACTATGACAATGAATATGGTTAAGAACAAGAATCTCATGTATTTTTTGATTAATAAAGGCAGTACTTACAATCTTCTACCATAACGCTTCCTCTTGAAAATATTCCACGATCAAACTCACTGTCTTGGGTTTAATATACTACTCCTTTGCTCAGCATCCTCATTTTATTCTTGGATTGCTCAAACATAGCTCTGTTTTCATGCAAATACAGAATCAGATTTTTTTGGACTTTCAAGTGGAGACTGCTAGAGCCACAATCTCACAGTGATTGCATGCCTGCAAAACAGGAAACCCCACACAGTATAATTAAGTTCCCATTTCAGAATTACAGATAAGAATTAATAATGAATGTTTTTCTCAGGTGAAATCAGCAAAATTAGCATTGGGATTTCCATAATTCCAGATGAGTTCTATTCTATTCTATTCTTAAAATTCAGCAGATACATCCTGAGAGGAAGCAGAATTCAACACTTAGTTTTTAGGCTGGTGGTTCTGTTGGTGTTTCAACACCAAATACTGCTTTCCCTAATCTACAACATTAAGGCTTTCTCTACTTGCCAAGTTATCACCACCCTAGTGACCAGTTTCCCGCTTCTCTGCATGATCTGGAATAAAAATCTTTCACTCACTTGTAATACTTGTACATATTACTTAATAGCTAGGGAAATTAACATTTCCCCAAATGACACTGCACTAGAAAATTACAGAATTGGGAGGACCCTCAAAGTATTTTTTTGATGACACAATAAACCCTTACATCAGGCCCAATTTCTTGTATGAAGAAACAAAGGTAGCAGTCAACTGGTAACTCTGTTTATCAGCTCATTGCAAATCATCACCGCTTTTCTCCCCCTGCTCCATCCCCTCACTTTTTGAAAGAGTCATTACAATAAGAAATCCGGTCTAAATTATGTCTTTCCCGTAAGTATTGTGGACAGCAACATTAAAATCAGTGATAAAACATCTCAGGAAACCAAATTTAAAAGCTTGTTTGTTTTAACAGGCGCTATCATTAACTGATGACTTCCCTTTGAAGACCATTTGCTAGTTTTGGGAAATGAGGCTATTAAAAAAATCAGTTTTGTATACTGGCACCAATTAAATGGCATCCGTTACAGTTATTTTACTAAAGCTTAGGGGAAAAAAGCCACAAGGCAAATCGAAATGGGAAGTGCCCAATTTGCAAATTATTGACTTGTATGCTATTCTTGGTTACTAGGTACACACAGGCATTTAATCATGTTCTGAAATCAAAACCTTGTTAAGAAAAATCAAACCTGCAATCAATATTATCATGGCATTTGAAGTGGTGCAGCCAGACAACTATTGCACACAAGCGTAAAGACAAACAAACGGCAGATGCAAAAGCACACAGAGGCACTGGAGGGGAAAATCCAGGCTGCATGTGGGGGGAAGCATGTGCCAACCAAGAGACCTGCAGCACCAGGTTCAAGAGATCCTGCTCCCGAGTGATTATTGGGATGGAGATATAAGGAATGGACTAAAAGGTTTGAGGATGAGAACGGGAGCTCCCTCTCTGCCCAACCAATAAAAACAAAGATACAGAAGAGTGACAGAAGATGGATAATTAGTGGAATAAGGCAGTAACAGCAGAGTTGGTTTTTTGTGATAGAAACTGCAATAAAGCCTCTCAAATTTCGTACTGTTTGTACTTTAAGAGTCAGATGCATATTGAAAAGAAAAAGCCACCCTATACCACCAGATAGTGGTAGATAAGTGCAGTAGGAACCACAGCAAAGGGAAGAACCGGGATTTATATGCAAATACCTCTTGAAGACTGCAAGTCAACAACGTAAGCATAAGAACAAAAGGTACTCCCCTGAAATCTGCAACAGCATTAAAGGAAGACTGGCAGGAAACAAAAAAGTGAAAATTGTAGCAAGTAAGTTCACAACAAATGAAGGGCAACATCCTGCCACAACAGAAGGAAGCAGGTGCCATAAGTTAATTCAGACACTGCCTAGGTGTACTGGGTCTGTCTGGCAGATAGTTAACTATAAGATAATTACTGCTATAAAAGGAAGAAGCATCATTATACTCATGGGGAATAAAAGCAGTACAGGGGAATCAGAATGAAACAAGTATTGTCAGAATTTGACATTGCCATCAGTCTGCTATAGGGAAGGATCTTACAGGAATGCAAGAAATCTTGATCATTACTTGTGTGGAACACAAATACTGACTTTTCAAAACCATGGAGTAAATCAAAGGTTTAGATCATTGGTGAAGAACAGTAACAGCCAACCCTCCCCTCCCCCCTGATTTTTGTAAATGTGGATAAGAAAGTTGAAATAGAAAATAAAGGAAACAGAAGACATTGCGGTCAAACGATCAGGGAACAGGTTTGGTCCTGTGTTTACGTTGATGGCAAAATCTTGATGTAGCCTACAATATATCAGTGAGTGAGACAGGACTGGATGAAAACAAACTGGAGGCAAGATGATGTGGGAGTGTTTAATTAGGCAGCATGTCAAAAGAAGAGGAAAAAGGCTTAGAACTGCAGATTCTGCACAAAGGAATGATCTGAAAAATAAGATGTATTATAAATTACAGTAGAGTCCAGTTACTCCAGATTTATGGTAACATACATAGAAGACACATTCAATTTTATTTATCAAAGTACAGCTCAGTTACCAGTTTTGAACTGCTTGTTGTGTTCATAAGTAGCCAATTTATTTCTTGTCATCTGACCATGTAATTTCATAATCTGTATACACTTTCTTCAGTAGCTCTACAGTTACTGAATGATCTGCTTTTCCATAGCCCTGCAAGAAAGAACAAATGTTTATTAGACGTGTACAGAAAGTAAATCCACAGAACCATTCAGTTCTTGTCGACACAAATTATCCAGTTACGATTTGATACTTCAAGTAGTTCACATGCAAATCAAATACAGTTTCTAAAAGAGTTATTCTTGCAGTATCATGTTTTATTTTTCTATTATCCTCTCCAATTCCCCCCAACCCAAGTTGTAGAAAATAAATTAGATGGGTCAA